AAACTTATTGTTCATTTTTAATTATTTTTTTTTCAATACAACACAGTAATTTTTTTTTATTATTGAGTTGATGTGTATGCCTTTGGCAAAGCTAACATTTGCCTTATCCTCTTGCCTTTTCAAAATCAAAGGTGATGATACCTGTGACAGTAATACAGTACGAAATGTGTACATCAGCATGTGCCTCCTACAAATGAAGACTTGTTGTTTTTTTGATATACTGTGGTTAAATTCGTAATAATAGCTCCGTAGTCCTGTGGTTTTAGCAGCTTTTTTTTTTGGCTATTTTTTTTTCGCCCTCTCGCATTAGTTTTGGGGTCTTCAGAGGATGTCATCCATAAAATTAAATCAGTGTGGCCTTACATTAAAAAAAAAAAAAAAACGTTTCACGTCACACAGTTGTTTTTTTGATACACTGTGGTTAAATTCGTAATAATAGCTCCGTAGTCCTGTGGTTTTAGCAGCTTTTTTTTTTTTGGCCATTTTTTTTTCGCCCTCTCGCATTAGTTTTGGGGTCTTCAAGGATGTCATCCATAAAATTAAATCAGTGTGGCCTTACATTAAAAAAAAAAAAAAACGTTTCACGTCACACAGCGCAGCCATTGTAAAGTAAATTCCGACCTGACTGTACTGATGGCGGTGATCCTGTAACGGTGCAACACTTACAACACTATAATATTATTATTAATGTGAATTTAAAATTCACCACGTGTAAAATATGCAATAAGTTTAATGGCTAAACACAAATAAAATATATACAATTCGTTTCGCATTATTCACTTCTCTTGTATATTGCATTTCTGGCAACCTGTGAAAGGAGACGTTTAATAATATACTCTGTTAGTTACGAAACAAGTCTGTGTATTTGTAGTTGTCGTACAAGAAATGAGTATTCATTATTGTTATTATTTCATATTATTATAATATTCCAACTAATTATATACCATGGTGGAAACTACACTGGTACACTTTGTTGTATTTCACTATGAGAATTCAAACAACAATAAATAAAGGAAACATAAGCTATGGACATTTCAAAGCTGTCAACAGAACTAATGGTCCGCACGTTACATTACTATGTATTTTCGTTACAGACTACATTATAACATCAGTTATTTCAATAGCTATGTCACACACTAAAACACACTAACGTTTAGTTTAATCTCAATTATATTACAGGGAGTATCCTTGCTGCATTTGGAGCCTTGTTTTGTTGCAATAAAACCTCATTTGGTCTAAGAGCGGCGCATTTTTGTTTCAATTTCTGGTGTGGTATATTCCAGTTAGCGTTCGCCATTCTCATAGTGGGATGGATATGGAGCGTTCTATGGGGACTTATGTATGTAGGTTTTGCACGTAAGTATCACTTAATATGTTCTAGAACAGTGACGTCATATTCGTATTGTTTAAAGTGCTTTTACTTTTATTGATTCTTGGCCTCACCCCTTTTCAAGTTAAATTATAGAAATCAATCTTCATTTAGAATATAGATATTTTTTTTTTCTCATTTTGAACTGCTTTTGCACAATTATGTTATTATTCTGCTCAGAACCGAATCTCGTAATTAGAATACTAATAACTGATAGATAAATAATTGTGTTGTGTTAATTAAGGAATAATGAGTAATAAATTCCTATTTAGTACGTCTGTTAAATAAAAATACCATTTATAATCATTTACCCAGGAGGATCTACACATAGGAGATAGAGATGTCGGGTCACGTGTGTATTAACTTTTTAAAAAAAGTATATAATATAATGCCGTAAATATAGAGTACATATACATGAATAGGATTTGCAAATAGCGTGTTCTGACTCCAAGTCAGATGTAATGTTCTCCACACAGTAATCGACCCACTTTGAGCATGGAACAACTAACTATCCTAATGTTTTTGTGATTGTGTACTTACATGTAATGTAAGTGGGTACTGACTGGGAATAGATCATTTGTAGCGATACAATACACATCACGGAAACGAAAGTAATTTTCAAGACCTTCGTGATGTCGAGTTTTGATCAGTTTTCAAATTGATAGATGCATGTGTTCAACTGCGATTGTCGAAGACTTACATAGTGAGTGTACACCCATTGCGCACAGCATAATTCATTAACGGATTGACAATACACGACAGTGCTACATTTTGCTGGGTTTCATTACTGTCGTCATATCGCGTCTTATTCAATACGGATTCCATGCTACATGTACATATGCAACGCGTGTATAATATGCTGTTTGGTTACACAACATTCGAACGGGCTACACGACAATACTGATATATATGAAATACTGTATCTACCATGTTTATAGCAAATTGCAATTACTGCCAATTACTGTACCCAGGGCCAATGGTTCGTGGTATATTGCAATTACTGCCAATTACTGTACCCAGGGCCAATGGTTCGTGGTATATTGCAATTACTGTACCCAGGGCCAATGGTTCGTGGCATATTGCAATT